CGTAAACAAGCTGTTTAGTAATATTTTTCTAAATTACCATCTATAATCGTTAGACAGAGTGCAAAAATCACAGCCCGTAGACTCATCACAGGATCCCATGAAACTGCACCAATCCTGGAGATGCAGAAAATAACCGCAGTGCAGACGTTGTGCTCAAGAAGAGACACCTAAAACTGATCCAGATGGAGAAGTTTAAATAGTATGCTATCATACCCAATGAATGAAAGGTTAGATGGATCTGGCATTGGGGCGTTTCAAAATGTAGCAGCTTTGTCCTTTCAAGGGTAAAAAGACTATCAGAAAGGGAAGACAGTATCAAGCAGATCTACCTTTTAGAACAACACCGCTGAAACCTACCCTATACCCTGTACCTTGGGGAGCAAGTCAGTGATACAATACATGTAATGACTTCAGTCAATGGATTCACAAACTGGAGATGAGTCCAATGATCTTCAAAAAATGAACAGCTTGCTCTTAGCATGATTGATGAAAACTATCCTGAACAGTCATGGATACATGTTTACACAGATGGATCAGCAACTAGTGTGGTTAAAAATGGGGGTGCTGGAGTCTTATTACATACTCAGCAGCCACCGCCACACAAAGTGGTATACCCACTAATAAATTCTGTTCCAACTACACAGGGCAGAGAGATTGTAGCACTAGAGCGGGGGGCTGCCCCCCCCCCCCCAAAATGTTACACAACACCAGTTTCTGACCAAGTGGTCATATTCACAGATGTGCTATCGGTGCTTCGAGCCCTCAAGAGTGGCAAAACCCCCTCACTGGGAGATCTGAACTTGGCAAGGTGGCTGCCCAAAAGTGTACTGTACACACAGTGGGTGCCATCCCCACTGTGGTATACCAGGAAACAAAAAACCGCAAATAAACTTGCTAAGAAATGGGCAGAATGTGACCAGGAAGAGAATGCAGTAACATACTATCAGAAGAAAAGGGGCCATCCAGGCTATTAGAAGGAACAAAGTCTGGCCAGAGATGACTACCCACTTACTTGGACCGGCTATGGGCCAGGTCCGTCTAGTGACAGGACATACACAAAACTTAACAGCATTTGACACAGGCTTAGGGGGTCTAAGTAGTTCACCCGTGTGTCCTTGTGGGCTATGTGTGCAGACTACAGAACATGTCCTGCAAGACTGTCCCTTGTTCAGCCCATTAAGATGAGAATACTGGCCCAGTGAGTCACCACTGTACACAAAGTTGTATGCGACTAAAAAGGAACTCATTAAAAACAGTCAAGTTTATCACAAGAACCTGTCTGTCAGTGTAAATCAGAAAGCGAACACAAGAAAAAGAAGAAGTAATATTTTTATTTTTACTTTTTTTGCAGCATATGCGGCGACCTGACACATCAGACGACAGACATGTTATGACTAAACACAGCTTCATCTATCCCACAGAGACGGAGGTGGGTTGGTTACTATTTTTTTTAAAGTTATTGCTTGTGGCCAAGCAGTACTGATCTTAGACTCAGGTACTGCAGACATAGGTTTCTGTCTGTAGTAAGACCACAGATTTCCAACTGTTTTCTTGTATATCATGCAGTTTGAGTTGATGAATGTTCACCCTGTCCGGCTATCGTCTGTTCCTGTGAATCTCCACCTGCCTCACTTTCTCTCTGCCCAGCTTTATTGTTATAACATTGTTTAGTTGACCTTTTCTAATATATCTTAGCTCTCTGTGTGGGTTCCAGAGCTCCATGGGGGGGGGGGGGGTTCGGTTGGTGGGGGGGGGGGGGGGATAGACCCAGCTCTACTTACAAGCATGTTGTGAGAGTCACCTAATTAAGGATGTATCATACAAAGTCAGAGTGCATCCGGCTGAGCAGCGAGGCACCTGCAGTGTGCAAACAAACAAGTCAGATTTGTAAAAAGGATCTTCACGCAAAAACTCTAGTGTAGTGGCTAGATGCTCACCTGTGGATCAGAAGTGACTGTGGCTTCCAGGATCACCCCAGTCTGAAATAAGTAGCAGGCAAAGTTCCTGGGCAGTAAAGGCGGCTGGTGTCAATGTGACCTTCAAGTGCAGACTGGTCTATAAAATATAGGTCTAGTCCTGAATGCCTGAAGACCTAGAAAAGGGACCTTTTAGTGATCAAACACCAACACTTTGTCACTAGAAAAACATTTTCTTTTTCCTCACTGGAAGACGCAAAACCACTTGACTACAAGATAATTGACATCTGATAACTGGAAGACACAAAACCACTTGACTACAAGGTAATTCACATCTGATAACTGGAAAACACAAAACCACTTGACTACAAGATAATTGACATCTGATAACTGGAAGACACAAAACCACTTGACTACAAGATAATTCACAAATGATAACTGGAAGACACAAAACCAGTTGACTACAAGATAATTCACAAATGATAACTGGAAGACACAAAACCACTTGACTACAAGATAATTCACATCTGATAACTGGAAGACACAAAACCACTTGACTACAAGATAATTGACATCTGATAACTGGAAGACACAAAACCACTTGACTACAAGATAATTCACAAATGATAACTGGAAGACACAAAACCACTTGACTACAAGATAATTCACATCTGATAACTGGAAGACACAAAACCACTTGACTACAAGATAATTCACAAGGTGATAACTGGAAGACACAAAACCACTTGACTGAGGTGCAAGGATAATTACAAATGATAACTGGAAGACACAAAAACCACTGCTGACTACAAGATAATTCACAAATGTCTAAGGGAAGCTACAAAACCACTTGACTACAAGATAATTCACATCTGATAACTGGAAGACACAAAACCACTTGACTACAAGATAAGGTTTAGTTCCTGGCGGGGGCCAAACTTTTTTTTAAAAATGACCTTGGCTCCCAAGTCGACCCAGCCTTGAGTGGGTATCAGGTACAGTCCTAGGAAGTAAAAGTGGCCGGCCTGATCTGACCACATCACCGGTCAAGTGCCATTTGGTCTATAAAATATAGGTCTAGCCCTGTATACCCAGTGCGTCTGAAAGGCGAGGAAAAGGGTCCCTAACTTTTTTACCACATAAACACCGTCAGTTGACCACAGGACGGAAAGGAATTTTATCATCCAGCAAACATTTGGTCTTCAGATAACCATCATCATCACATACATGTGTATGTAAATCTCTCAGTCCCTTTTCCTTCCTCCTGCACTCTCTCTCTCTCACTCGCTCGCTCTGTAAAAGTGTTTCTCATTTATCACTGGTTTTGTTGTGGGGGTTTGACTGCCTGTGTAGCTCTGCTCTTTGTTTCTCCTCCTCTATAATTTCATGCCTTTTGTTTACACAGATTATCTGCAGCATCCATAGAAAAACAGTCTACTTAGAGTGAGCTATTTTACCTTGTTGATTTGATTTGACAGCTGTTGAAATAAGATTTGACAGCTGTTGAATTAAGAATTGACAGCTGTTGAATTAAGAATCGACATCACAGCACTCGGGATAACCCATAAGCGCTCCTCTCCCATCTTCAGCAGGAGGCGAAGAGTTATAATTCCGATGGGACCCAGTAACGGTCTGATTATGTATCCCTCTCACCTTTCCCCTGAATTTTAAGCTCCGGCTAAATACCCTCGTAACTCCTCTCAGCGCCATTCTCCCAGATCGTTATGATCTATCTGTGCCTCCGCACTGGTCAGTTGCTCCCAAAAAGCCCTCACGCATGGTGGCACTTTGTGTCATCGGGTGTTTATCGCTTGTGTGATGTCCTGGTGGCGTAGAAATTCATTCATTCATTCACAGCATCCAGCTTAACAGATGTGATGCAGGTGACCACTTGTGAAGTTACTACTGTGTTCTGTGGTATTTTAGCATTGTCAAAGTGTTAGTTTAATTTCTATTTCAGCTTCAAGCAGTTCAGAGTATTGTTTCAGCATGTGAAAAGGCTTTGAAGTTGGTTTCAGATTCGCTGACTGAACCGTAAGTTCTGTCTGCTCATTTTTATCATTTATGATTTCTGATGCTGTCACACACAATATTTGCAGAACTTTCAGAATGTCAGTTTTAATTTGAAGCTTGGCTAGTGCTGGGCCTAGTTTTTGACTAGACTGACTTCATTAGCATACACAAAAAAACTATCAGTACAAATACATATGTCCCCGTGTGGGTTCCGGGGCCCCATTGTGGGGAAAACAAGAATAGACCCACTGCCTACCCAAAAGCATGTCGCAAGAGTCGACTAATTGGGAGCTTCCTTTGAAGTCAGAGTGCATCTGCAAGGAACCACCAGTCTGCATTCAAGTTAATCAGATCTGTAAAACTGATGCACACGCAACACTCAGGTTCTGGAGCAGGACTGCAGTCCAGGAGTGGACGAACAACCAGAACTTTCTGCCAAAGTCTACAGCTGGTGAACGCGAAGAAGAAGAAGAAATACATATGATTAAACTGCAGACAAGTACATCACATAACTTTTGTTAGGACTTGGGCTGGATTTTTTGTCTGTTTCCTTGTCTCTTTTCTTTCTCTGCCATCTGCCTGTCTCTTCTACCTGTTTCTTTTACTGCATGAGTTTGTCTCTGTCCTACCTACCTTTTTTTGTGTTTGTCTCTCTCCTCCCACCTCCTTTTCTATGTCTCTTCTGCCACCTCCTTTTCTCTGTGTTTGTCAACTCCTCCAACTTCTTTTCTGTGTTAGGTCTCTCCTCCCATCTTCTTTTGTCTTTATTTGTCTTTCTCCTCCCACCTCCTTTTCTGTGTGTTTGCTTCTCTCCTCCCACCTCCTTTCTCTCTCTCTGCCACCTCCTCTTTTCTCTGTTTCTTGTGGTTTGTCTCTCCTCCAACTTCTATTCTGCGTTAGTCTCTAGTCTCTCTCCTTTTTCTTTTTTTTTTTTGTCCCTCCTCCTTTTCTGTGTGTGTTTGTCTCTCTCCTCCCTCCTCCTTTTCTGTGTGTTTGTCTCTCTCCTCTAACCTCTTTTCTATGTTTGTCCCTCTCCTCCTGGGAGATTAAAGGCAATGGTGGTGTAGAAAGATGAGCAAAAAGAAGGCATGGTTCATGTGAGAAGAGGCAGAAGTAAAAGAGTACAATGAGGGACAAAGGATGGGGCAGGAAAATACCTCAGGCACCAGATTTGTGAGGTGCTGAACAGGTTTTCAGGGGGTCATCATGGCAGTGACCATCTGCAAAGTATCTATTATAACATGTAGATTAGCATATTAATTGTTCGGTTTAAGTTTGTTTTCACACAGTAACTAACATATATATTATTAACACAGATTTGATTGAGAGAAAGCAACAGTACATTTCACATTGGCTGTAGTATATTAGCAGTTTATCATGACCTGTTTATTTTGATAGTGTTCCCAGCATTGGCATGGATACTGAAACTGAACAGGGTGAAGATGTGACTGCTGTAGGTCAGGATGGAGACAAGGAAAGGTGGGCCTCATTGCTTTGTTCCAGGCTGGTTTCTTATTTGTTTTAGCAGTTGTGAAACAATCCTTGCTGTTATTTTACTACTTGTTCAAAGAGCTAATGAATTCCAATTTGGCACAGACATAGGTAAATGGCTGCTGCATGCCCTGCATTATTGTTGCCTTGTTACAACTTGCCGATTCCTTTCAGACAAATTTACAGTCAGGAAGTTACCCATTTTGCCCTATGAATCTTAAAAAAAATTAGGTCACACATCCTTAAAAACAAACATTTTACACAGATGACTGATAAATTAAAAACAATCTGTCTACATTTTTGAAATTCTGTTCTAAAAAATATAAAAAGATATATAATCAGTGAACATGGACAGAGTGAAACTCATAATGGAATACATTTCCCTGGGGCTGGCACAAACAATCTGCATCAGGTGACTCATGCTGGAACACCAGGACCTCTATCACTGGGGCTTGGGGGAACATTTGACACCAGCTTGTTGGATTTTTTGAGAACAGATCATTGCAGACTGACTGACCTGATAGTTTTGAGGACAGCATAGTGACATGAGCATCTACATGTGTCTTAAAACTGACTGACCTGATAGTGTTGAGGACAACAAAGTGACATGAACATCTACATGTGTCTTACAACTGATTGACCCGATAGTATTGAGGACAAGGGACAGCATAGTGACATGAGCATCTACATGTGTCTTAGAACTGACTGACCTGATAGTGTTGAGGACAACAAAGTGACATGAGCATCTACTTGTGTCTTAGAACTGACTGACCTGATAGTGTTGAGGACAGCAAGGTGACATAAACATCTACATCTGTCTTACAACTGACTGACCCGATAGTGTTGAGGACAAGGGACAGCATAGTGACATGAGCATCTACATGTGTCTTAGAACTGACTGACCTGATAGTTTTGAGGACAACAAAGTGACATGAGCATCTACATGTGTCTTACAACTGACTGACCTGATAGTGTTGAGGACAGCAAAGTGACATGAACATCTACATGTGTCTTAGAACTGACTGACCTGATAGTGTTGAGGACAGCAAAGTGACATGAACATCTACATGTGTCTTACAACTGACTGACCTGATAGTATTGAGGACAACAAAGTGACATGAACATCTACATGTGTCTTAGAACTGACTGACCTGATAGTGTTGAGGACAGCAAAGTGACATGAACATCTACATGTGTCTTAGAACTGACTGACCTGATGGTGTTGAGGACAACAAAGTGACATGAGCATCTACATGTGTCTTAGAACTGACTGACCTGATAGTTTTGAGGACAACAAAGTGACATGAACATCTACATGTGTCTTACAACTGACTGACCTGATAGTGTTGAGGACAAGGGACAGCAAGGTGACATGAACATCTACATGTATCTTACAACTGACCAACTTGATAATGATTTGTTACATATATTCAAACAGTGTATTTATGTGAACTATTTGTTGTTGATTCGTACATGTTTCAGTGGTGAGAAAAAAGAGGAGCCAGTGTCTAACAGACTCCTGAAGGGTGTGATGAGAGTCGGAGTGCTGGCCAAGGGTCTTCTTCTCCATGGGGATCTTAATGTCAACCTGGTTGTCCTTTGTGCTCAGAAGCCAACTCGGAGATTGCTGAAACAAGTGGAGGATGTCCTGCCCAAACATCTGGCGGTCAGTATCTGTAGTAGCAGAGAGTGTAACTAGAGGTCTTTTGAGTTTGTTTAGTAACTGTAGAAAGTGTAACTAGAGGTCTTTTGAAGTTTGTTTAGTAACAGTAGAAAGTGTAACTAGAGGTCTTTTGAGTTTGTTTAGTAACTGTGGAAAGTGTAACTAGAGGTCTTTTGAGTATGTTTAGTAACAGTAGAAAGTGTAACTAGAGGTCTTTTGAGTATGTTTAGTAACAGTAGAAAGTGTAACTAGAGGTCTTTTGAGTATGTTTAGTAACAGTAGAAAGTGTAACTAGAGGTCTTTTGAGTATGTTTAGTAACAGTAGAAAGTGTAACTAGAGGTCTTTTGAGTTTGTTTAGTAACAGTAGAAAGTGTAACTAGAGGTCTTTTAAGTATGTTTAGTAACAGTAGAGAGTAACTAGAAGTCTTTTGAGTATGTTTTGTAACAGTAGAAAGTGTAACTAGAGGTCTTTTGAGTATGTTTAGTAACAGTAGAGAGTGTAACTAGAGGTCTTTTGAATTTGTTTAGTAACTGTGGAAAGTGTAACTAGAGGTCTTTTGAGTATGTTTAGTAACAGTAGAAAGTGTAACTAGAGGTCTTTTGAGTTTGTTTAGTAACAGTAGAAAGTGTAACTAGAGGTCTTTTGAGTATGTTTAGTAACAGTAGAGAGTAACTAGAAGTCTTTTGAGTATGTTTTGTAACAGTAGAAAGTGTAACTAGAGGTCTGATGAGTATGTAACAGTAACAGTAGAAAGTGTAACTAGAGGTCTTTTGAGTATGTTTAGTAACAGTAGAAAGTGTAACTAGAGGTCTTTTGAGTATGTTTAGTAACAGTAGAAAGTGGTACTAGAGGTCTTTTGAGTATGTTTAGTAACAGTAGAAAGTGTTACTAGAAGTCTTTTAAGTATGTTTAGTAACAGTAGAAAGTGTTACTAGAGGTCTTTTGAGTATGTTTAATAACAGTAGAAAGTGTTACTAGAAGTCTTTTAAGTATGTTTAGTAACAGTAGAGAGTGTAACTAGAGGTCTTTTGAGTTTGTTTAGTAACTGGAAAGTGTAACTAGAGGTCTTTTGAGTATGTTTAGTAACAGTAGAGAGTGTAACTAGAGGTCTTTTGAGTATGTTTAGTAACAGTAGAAAGTGTAACTAGAGGTCTTTGAGTATCTGTAGTAGCAGTAGAAAGTGTTACTAGAGGTCTTGGAGTATCTTTAGTAACAGTAGAAGGTCTAATTAGAGAAGTCTTTGATGTCCATCCTCTTATTTAGTGTCGATGATCATAAAGCATAGAATGATTACCTCTAGACACAGAGACTAGTACTGATTGTCATAAAACAGAATGATTGCTTCAAGACACAGAGATCAGTACTGATTGTCACAAGGCATAGAATGATTGCCTCTAGACACAGAGACCAATATTGATTGTCACAAGGCATAGAATGATTGCCTCTAGACACAGAGACCAATATTGATTGTCATAAGGCATAGAATGATTGCCTCTAGACACAGAGACCAATATTGATTGTCATAAGGCATAGAATGATTGCCTCTAGACACAGAGACCAATATTGATTGTCATAAGGCATAGAATGATTGCCTCTAAACACAGAGACCAATATTGATTGTCACAAGGCATAGAATGATTGCCTCTAGACACAGAGACCAATATTGATTGTCATAAGGCACAGAATGATTGCCTCTAGACACAGAGACCAATATTGATTGTCACAAGGCATAGAATGATTGCCTCTAGACACAGAGACCAATATTGATTGTCACAAGGCATAGAATGATTGCCTCTAGACACAGAGACCAATATTGATTGTCACAAGGCATAGAATGATTGCCTCTAGACACAGAGACCAATATTGATTGTCATAAGGCACAGAATGATTGCCTCTAGACACAGAGACCAATATTGATTGTCATAAGGCACAGAATGATTGCCTCTAGACACAGAGACCAATATTGATTGTCATAAGGCACAGAATGGTTTCCTTTAGACACAGACCAGTGCTGATTATTGTAAGGCATAGAATGATTGCCTACAGACCCAGAGACAAAGGGATTTAAAAAATAAATTCTAGTGACATCACTAAAATAGGTTAAGTGTTTGTAGGCACCTAGTTCTGATCATGGCCTCATTTTTAGCCAGGGATCATACGTCGACGGACAAACTTCTTTCATCATGTCCACCGTCTGTAAACTGCTGTGGAAAGTTCTGGGTGTTCATCCACCTCTGGACGTTAGTCCTGTTTCAGAACCTGAATATTGCATGCACATCCGTTTAACAGATCTGGCTTCTTATTTGGATGCAGACTTGGTTTCTTACCTTTCAAGCAAATGTACTCCAACTGTGAAGGATGCTCTAGTTAGTCAACTCCTCCGGCATGCTTGTGAGTCTGTTCTTGTTTTCCCCACAGTGGACAGTGGGACCACAGAACCCGCACAGAGACCTGGACAAACAACACCCGCCCTTTGGTCTCCAGCACTTGAACACTGCAGGCTCTTGTTCTTTGACAGCTTTATATTATGTTTGTGTATTTTAGCTTTACAGTTCTCTGGTCTGACATAACATAATTGGTCATGTAGAAATGTATACTTCCCTAGTTCTCATCACTGATGGAACAATGATCATGCTTGCCATAACCCCACTGGTAGAATGAAATAGATTAGCAAATTTCCATCAGAAGTTGACTAATTATTGATTGGTTTTGTGCAGACTGTCACACGTTAACTTATTGGAAGGTTTATTCAGACAGCCACAATTTAAATAATGATTTATTGGTGTATTCAGACAGTCACAAGTTAAATAATGATTGATTGGTGTATTCAGACAGTCACAAGTTTAATAATGATTGATTGATGTATTCAGACAGTCACAAGTTTAATAATTATTGATTGGTATATTCAGATGCCACAAGTCAACTATTTATTGATAGGTTTATTCAGACAGTCACAAGTTGAAAATTTATTTATTCAAAAATTCACAACTGTAAAAATTATTGATTTAATGGTATTGTTGGTTTATTCAGACAGTCACAAGTTGAATAATTACTTATTCAAAAATTCACAAGTAAAAGCATTATTGATTCTATGGTATTCATTGGTTTATTCAGTCAGAAGTTAACACTGATTATTTGATTGGTGTATTCAGACTGTCTCAAGTACACAGTACGAGGTGCGCCGTTGTGTTCAAGATGCTTCTCTTATAGTCAGCTGTGACGAGGAGCCAGCAACCAGCTGTACCATCACCCTGACATCACCTGTCATGAGAGAGACCAACCAGCCTGAAGGAGGTAGTTATGGTAACATTGTGGCCACTGTCACATGTCTCATATCTCATACAGCAGTGTATAGAGTGTTAGGCAAACACATGTCACCGCATCATCACAGTTTGGGTTAGCAAATTAGGAGGGATTGATTGTCACTCGTGGAGTCAAGCAGAAAACTGAGAGAACACATGTTAGCTACAGCAATGTTAGAAGACCCTCGTGAGAGTGCCAGGTGCTTCCTGTAGTACACACACACGGTCTCATTGCCTGTTTGTGCTCTGTGAGTGCTCTTCGATTCCTACCAATTTGCTAATGCCAGCTTTGACATCAAACACCTGTGCTGCTTAAATACCGACTTGCCATCTATGATATGACCATTACGGCTTTAGCATCAAATTGGGGTGACCGATGGAAAATTGCATGGGTTGAGAGGAAACTGTTGTTTCGAACCAGCATTAGGTATACATTTATGTTGAGTGAATGAAGTTCTAAATATAGGTTTGAATGACTTTATATTCTCTGTATTATATGTTGGTTCGGAAGCTTCATTTCAGTTCATGATTTATTGATAAATAAAACATGTAGAAAAAAATTGGGGAGACTTGTGTGAGTCCAGATTAAGCAGCAGATCTGTTAGTGTGGTCATGCGGAGTGGCTGACCACGACTTTGCAGTTCCACGACAGTTGCAGGGTTCGAACTTTAGAATGATTGATTGTGAAGAGATCTGCTTGTTTTTTTGGTTCTACCTGCTGAGGTATATTGCCGTGCCTTAATTTCTTTATTTAAAAAATGAATGTCATGTAAATGAATCTCTTAACTTCGAACCTTGCACATGTAGTCAACAATGCAGTCAACAGGGTATCCCATTAGTCTGGCATTATAGGGCACATTAGAAATTGACGTTGACATCATAAGCTTGAATTGACTCTGTATGTCATTCATTGTTCTCAGCACTCAACTGTAGATGTTCTGTTAAGACAGTTGCGAATTATGCCACAAGTGCAATGTTGCCTCGGTAATGTGTCGATGGAAATGTTCAACATTCATTATTGTGCACAACTGTAAGTTCACTTCCATTTGCCATAGACTGTGGCTTTAGACTGGGACTTTCCGCTGGTTGCACTACTGGCTGTAGATACCCTTTACAGTTATTGTCGACTTATGGGGCACCCTGTTGTTTTCTATGATACAAACATTCACTGTGACTGTATACATGCAGTCACACACGCATTTTGAGTAATTACATTGTTAACATTGCTACATGTGCTGTTTTCATGACATAAATGCTGCGTTGAGCCTTCTAAAGTACCCACAGATTGAGAGGACATGGAGCATGGAAGGATTTTTGACCATGTAGCTTGGCATTGGGGGTACAAGCACCTGCTACACACCAAAGGACTTCACTGCCACATACATGCACCTTTTCACAACATGGCCTGTTTGTTTTCTCTGCTCCTTCTTGTCCTTCTCAACACTATAGCAGGGTTTCAATTGTGACCAGTCATTGCAGTTTTGTTGAAAACAATTACGTCTTGCTGTAATGATTGCTTCATCTTGGCTGTTCATTTTGTAGAGGTTTATAAAGGCATCCTGTACTGTGTCTAAATGTATGTGTGTGTATGTGATATATATATGTCTGTCTATTAACGTTACTTCCCTATGTGGGTACTGATGTCTAGGATTCTTATTCTTGTGTTGCTTACATACAAAGGTTTTGGTCAAACATTTTATTGTTTCTGTGATGCTTTTTTCCCTTCCACTGTCCTTGAGGTTTCTAGCATAAAGCTTTATCTTCATCAACTTAACATAGTCAACTTTTGATCTTGATTTATGCCTGGATGGATTATAGTTTTACACTAACTTTTAGTCTTTAGTCTTTGCAAAATAAGACTTTCATTGCTCTGGCACCTTTTTGATTTGCCAAGTGGAGGATTTCCATTTCCTCTAGTCTTTGATTGTTAAATGGTGAGGTTTTCTTGGCACCTGAAAATTTGGTGGCCTCCGACTATTAAAGAAAAAGGAGTTAAATTTCAGAGTATATTTCCTTATAATTTGCTGAAACAACTATTACAATAGTTTGAAACCAATTGATCGATAACAGATTAGAAAAAAGAAAGTAGTTTAAAAGAAAATGCTGTGTTTGGCAAAGTGTCTGTTGTGTCGATGGAGTGTGAGAGGGTTAGTATCAGCTGCATGCACAGACACTGGACTAGACACTAGGCTAGACACGATGCAGTGCTTATGCCCCCAAGCACAAAGCTGCCTTGCTGGAGTCGTGTGCCCTGCCTCTGCTGCTATGGTCAAACACCCATTCCTGACTTGTGAATCCATCCACCTTTCTATAGAGACGGTTAACGTCAAAGATCCACTGGATGTCCTCGACAGGCAGAAATGCCTCGATGCCCTAGCTGCTCTACGTCATGCGAAATGGTTCCAGGTTTGGCAGTTTGTTTTATACTTTTCAGCCTTTTGTAATTAGAACTTGACCTCCTTCGTTTGATGTTTTTTTTGTTCAGTGACCCATGACTTATTTTTTTCTTCAGTTTAGTGATTTTACTTTCTTTGTTCATAGCAGATGTGATGTTTGTTGTTTCATGTTTTTTTTTTTTTTCAAAACTAAATATGAAGAGGGGGAGTTAAGGGTGATAACAGTTATGAAGATAATTTGTGAAAGAAACAGACTGTTCCAACAAACTGCTGTGTGAACAAAGATATTTTTTTCTATGTTTGAAATAAGAATGTGCATCTAAGGTCACGTGAGGTTGGCAATGTGGTTTCAATGGGTTGCCTAGAGATATTAATGGAAGTAATTTCTTCGGGATAAATTTTCTGTTTAAGATGCACGTTGTCTGGTATCATAACAAATAACAATTGCACAGGTCTGGTATCATAACAAATAACATGTGCACAGTTGTTAGACTTGGTCATGGTGCAGGACATTGAGACTCCAAACTGTCATAACGGGGCACAGTTTTACTGTCATCCTGTGGTCCTACCTGCTTGTGCATGCTGCCATCACTGTCTGATATATCATAATGCAGTTTTATTCCCATCTGTAAGTCTGCCATTTCTGTGACATCTCTTCGTCACTAGACCTGACACTGTTGTCATTCACAAGGAATATACATGTTTTATCTCTGCCATTGTGTGCCCTTTGATGTTAGAACATAATTGTCATCTGTTTTTTCTTGTCTTTAAATAATTGGCTGGCTGATTCTGACACCTTTGTACAACTTCTCTAATCATCATCTTCATCAGGTGCCTTGCCGACTGGCGTGGGCGATCATGCCTCTCCATAATCTGCGATCTCCCGCAGCATGTATCAGTTCGTGTGCTGACACACCTCCATACACTTCTCTAATACAGAGGTGATAATAAAGGCCTATTTTTCTTATCTTCTTTTCAGATTTATTGTACTAATGCAGTTTTCATAGAACCATCAACTGTGTTCATTATTGCACTGGCTGTCTTGATTTCTCACAGCTTTTCCTGGTGGCAGTTTTACTCTGGGTCCCCATGACAACCAGGTCAGTTTCAGCACATGGCCACCAGGCAAGTGAGATAGTCACTGTGTCACCTCTGACCCCCAGTTAAGAAGTGCTGCAAATGTATTGTTGTCCCTCCAGTTTTTGGGACCAAAATGTCTGTCCATTCTATCAGCTCTCTGTCAGCCAGTCAGTTTTCATCTTTTCATGGCATCTTGATAGTTGACTTTAGTTCTTTTACTTTTTCTTGTTAGCTGTGGTCTCTTCCATTTGAGGTGCGTATTGTTATATTTGTTGTTGTTACTTCCTTTGATTCTGGTATCTTTTCTTGTTTGCTGTGGTTGTTTCTAGGTTCTTTTGCTGTTTCTTGTTTGCTCTTGCCTCTTCCATTTGGATTTTTTACTAAATTTTTTATTAAACCATGACTTCATTCAATTTCTGTACTATTTCTTACTTTCTGTAGCATCTCCTAATTGATTCGTATTGCGTATCTCAAAAACCTCCATTAAAAAATATGTGCGTAGTGTCTGTTTGTAGGAATTTATTTTCATGCTTAACTGTCAGCTGTCCATGGTTGGAGATCATGTTTAACCCCCTCACTTAAACCACCACTATCATTTTTTAAATGAAATAAAACAGAGAGACTTTTGTTGATTGAATGCACTAATGTTTGTTGTTTAACAGGTTGTATTTAATATTTTGTGTTGTAATTTGTTCTAAGGCTAGAGCAAATGGATTGCCTTCCTGTGTAGTCATCATCAGGATCATGCGTGAGCTGTGTCAGCGTATCCCTACCTGGGCTCCGCTACATGAGTGGGTAGGTTTCACATCTTCTGTTTGTCATTACCATCAACAAAGGTAAAGATTAATCTTGACATAATTATGTCGTGCCTGTTTACAGCAAAGCTTTGAAATTTTGTTTCTTTTAGGCCGACACATCTGACTTCATCAGGTATTTGTTCACCAGGTTAACCTCCCTGGTTGGTTTCAACGGACTTGACCTAGCCTCGTTTGTGTGGCGTCTTTTTGTTTATCCCATTATCTACATGTGTTCTCCCCCCCCCCCCCTTCCCAATCCAGGGCAACCGCATGTTGACTGGTCGGCCTCCAAGGGGAGATCATTCCCTGCCATCCAAGAAGTCTTCCATGAATGCAGAACCGACACATGACGCTCTGTGTCCTGGACTTGCCACTCACAGCGTGATCTGGAGAGATTAGAGAGCAGCCCACTAATGGGCCCAGTCTGCTTCAGCACGTTTGACACATGTAATGTTGTAGCATCAGGGCACTTGCATGTTTCCCAGATTGGACCTGATGCTGAGACAAGTGGCATCAGTGGTAGCCGACTTGTGAACCTTGTCTGTCACACATTAGGACATTTGATGGTAGCGGACATGTGAACCTTGTCTGTCACACATTAGGACATTTGATGGTAGCGGACATGTGAACCTTGTCTGTCACACATTAGGACATTTGATGGTAGCAGACATGTGAACCTTGTCTGTCACACATTAGGACGTTTGGTTAGACTTCTGAACCTTGCCTGTCACATAATAAGATATTTGATGTTCGCACATCTAAAACACTGCTGTTATCCAGTTGGACCGAACCGCAAGATACTGCCTGCAAATGTTGCTCGTCTAAGCTGTGAACAAATCTCCTGGTCTGGGCTGAGTCTCAGCAGTGAGGCGGCTGCTGAGCTGATTACTGTTGTCAGATAGGTGGCATTATCATAGCACCATATACACTAACTATCAGGTATCTAGGATTTGTGATTTGAGTCCATGCCTTTCTAGCACTAGTTAGGTCTGCTGATGGACACCAGCAGCTAACCATACCTGACTGATGGACACCAGCAGCTAACCATACCTGACTGATGGACACCAGCAGCTAACCATACCTGACTGATGGACACCAGCAGCTAACCATACCTGACTGATGGACACCAGCAGCTAACCATACCTGACTGATACTGATGGACACCAGCAGCTAACCATACCTGACTGATGGACACCAGCAGCTAACCATACCTGACTGATGGACACCAGCAGCTAACCATACCTGACTGATGGACACCAGCAGCTAACCATACCTGACTAATGGACACTGGAGCCTAATCTGAAAATTAGTAGAGATACATTTGAACCAAGATTTTTTCATACAGAAGGATATTCGGCCAGCGGGCGTTACTCATGTTCTGAATACATTTTTGATGGATGTTATTACATATGAGAGCCAGTCGATTTCTGGACACTACACCTCTTGGGGCCAGCAACACCGAGATCTCCTGCCTAGCTCGGTTTAGGTTGATAACCCTTATTTGTAGCACGCAACAGTGACACAGGAGCCATTATCCGTAGCACGCAACAGCGACAGAGGAGCCATTATCCGTAGCGCGCAACAGCGACACAGGAGCCATTATCCGTAGCATGCAACAGCGACACACGATAGGACTCTTGTTGCATGAGAATCTGTAATACCAGCACAGACTGTTTCCTTCAAGTCAAAGTGCATCTACCTGAGAGGCAAGGGACCAACAGTCTGCACACAAATAAGCCAGCTTGGTAAAATGGATGTGCACTCAAAACTCAAGCCCTGGAACAAGACTGAAGTCTAGAAATGGATGTGCACTCAAAACTCAAGCCCTGCAACAAGACTGAAGTCTAGAAATGGATATGCATCTAAACTCAAGTACTGCAACAAGACTGAAGTCTAGAAATGGATGTGCACTCAAAACTCAAGCACTGCAACAAGACTAAAGTCTAGAAATGGATGTGCACTCAAAACTCAAGCACTGCAACAAGACTAAAGTCTAGAAATGGATGTGCACTCAAAACTCAAGCCCTGCAACAAGACTGAAGTCCAGGATGAACAACCAGAACACCCCCAGAATTAACAGCTGGTGAATGCCAAGAAGAAGAACTCTCTGGGAGACTCAAAGGCCTGTGGCAGAGTACATGCTCAGTCCCTGATCAGACATTGTTTCATAAACACTAAAAACTCATTGTTTGTGGCAAGTTAACTTAAATATTTCATTAAAATAAATACAGATCAAAGTTGGTAAATATTTTGAAATATTTGAGCTGTTAAGTCAAAAGAATGTACCTTAAATAGACTTAGCTTTGGTAAAATGTATCCAGTCTTTGTCAGACACAGGGAGCTGTGTTTTGTGATCTTGTGTTAAAACACAGCTGTTATGCCAGATTTTCAGAGTCAGCCTTTGTGTGTGTGTGTGTGTCAAAAACAAAAACTTGACCAAAATTGTTGTGACTCTTGTAACCAATCATTGATTTTTTCTTTGTGTCAAGGCGATGGAGCTGCTAGTTGAAAAGTGTGTCAGCACAGGCGGGCCAAACATGGCACCTGGCGATTCTCTCCGTCGTGTCTTTGAGTGTATTGCTTCTGGAATCCTATTGCCAGGTAATAGTTTTCTTCCTTTCTTTGAGACAGCGGGAATGTTAGTTTGTTTGGGTCATTGGAAGGGCAGGTGAATTTTTTTATCTTAACTACTTTTCCAACAAGAACCCCAAGAAATAGTTATGTAGCTATAATTTAAGTGGTTGTACGTCTGCTTGTAGATGGGATTATAGAGCTAAAAAGAAGATAGTTACATAAATTATGGAAGTGATTGTATATCTGGCTGTAAAACAGCTCATGAGCTAGAGAACAATTTAATTAACTCTTATAGATATGGTTAAATATCTGATTGTAGAACTGGTCATACAGTAGTTCTGATTTCACGTTAGAGTTCAGATATAAGACTCACTACCGTGAAGGTCAATAGCAGTCTACAGGGTCAGCATATGTGGCTTAAGCCTTGCGAACATGCTTCGTAATACCGGGGTGCCGAGTTTGATCCCAGCTGCGGACAGATTGTGTGCACTGGTTTGGACAGTTGGATCGAGAGCTGACAGTTTAGTAAGCACTGGCAAACCATTGAACGTAAAATATGCCTAGACAAAACCACAGCGGTTTGAAAAAAATGCTGAGTTTGGTTTTGCAATGTCCTGTGAAGAATACACAGCTAATTTTTAACTAGACATTTGAGATCCTGTGAAAGAAAATAAGCTGGGTGTATACACTGAATCTGATCTTCATCTGATCAAACCACACATCAGACTGTTTTGTAAATGTATGATCCATTGTTGGCAGGAGGTCCAGGCTTGTACGATCCTTGTGAGAAGGAGGCTTATGATGTGACAGCCACGCTGACCAACCAGCAGCGAGAGGACATCACAGCTCTTGCCCAGGTCAGTTGCTGTTTGTGTTTAGTCTGTGTTTGTATTAGAGGCAGCTGAGATGTTTGCACAGCTGTTTATGTGGTTAGGAAATGTTTATTTCTGTGACAGGTTTTGATGTTTGTTGCATACTTAGCACGCTGATGTTTTTGGTCATCAGACAACGAATGTGGTACAAACTGGCAAGCAACTTTTCCTTGCCCAAATCTTCCACTAAAATTTTTCAAATGGTCTCTCAATTAACACCAAATTCATCTGCCATCATCCTCACAGTTAAACAATCATCTTCTTGTATCCATTCTCAGAAATAGGGTGTCCAGGTCTAGTTGCATTGGTAATAATTTCCACACCACTTTTGAATCGTGAATACCACCTAAAAATATGTACATGAGATAAATAATTACCCCATAAACATGTTGCATCAATTCAACGAATGTTGCCTCTTTAGATGTCATGCTTTGCTTCATAAATGGCAGTTTTGTCTTGGCAATAGTAAAATCAGTCTCATGACTGAATTGTCAGACATTGTATTACCTGCTTTATAAATGGCAGTTTTGTCTTGGCAATAGTAAAATCAGTCACATGACTGAATTGTCAGACATTGTATTACCTGCTTTATAAATGGCAGTTTTGTCTTGGCAATAGTAAAATCAGTCTCATGACTTAATTGTCAGACATTGTATTACCTGCTTTATAAATGGCAGTTTTGTCTTGGCAATAGTAAAATCAGTCACATGACTTAATTGTCAGACATTGTATTACCTGCTTTATAAATGGCAGTTTTGTCTTGGCAATAGTAAAATCAGTCTCATGACTGAATTGTCAGACATTGTATGACCTGCTTTACATGCCGGTCTGCTGTAGGAATTTGTGTATCTACATCAAAGGCATTGCAGAACTGAAGCTAGATTCTGATTGGCCAGTTGTGTTAAGGCTCACACCTACAAATATCTGTTGGTTGAACTAAGACTACCCACATCTATCAGATGTTTGGCCAGTTGTGTTAAGGCTCACACCTACAAATATCTGTTGGTTTGTTTAACTAAGACTAGCCACATCTATCAGATGTTGGACATTCATTCTGTGTCCTTGGCTTCCAGCATGCCCTGAGACTGATAGCATTCCGTCAGATCCACAAAGTTCTGGGCATGGATCCTCTGCCAGCTCCACGGTTCCCTGTTCGGCGGTTTAATAATCGCAAGAGACGTAACACCAGCAGTACCGGAGAAGAAGGTTAGTTATTATGTAGACTGTTTTTGTGTCTGTAGACGGGCTCTCATCATCATCATGTGCTGCGGACAATCATTTGAGCACAACCGCCGATAGTTTTAAATCAGGCCTTGTGTTTTTTTCTGATTTGATATTTGGCCAGTCAATGTTTCTTTGTCAGTGTATAACAGGTCAAACTGCATAGTGACTGCCAGGGCAAATAGGTCATGTCTGTATACTGCATAGTGACTGCCAGGGTAAATAGGTCATGTCTGTATACTGCATAGTGACTGCCAGGGTAAATAGGTCATGTCTGTATACTGCATAGTGACTGCCAGGGTAAATAGGTCATGTCTGTATACTGCATAGTGACTGCCAGGGTAAATAGGTCATGTCTGTATACTGCATAGTGACCGCCAGGACAAATAGGTCATGTCTGTATACTGCATAGTGACTGCCAGGGTAAATAGGTCATGTCTGTATACTGCATAGTGACCGCCAGGACAAATAGGTCATGTCTGTATACTGCATAGTGACTGCCAGGGCAAACAGGTCATGTCTGTATACTGCATAGTGACCGCCAGGACAAACAGGTCATGTCTGTATACTACATAGTGACTGCCAGGGTAAACAAGTCATGTCTGTATACTACATAGTGACTGCCAGGGTAAACAGGTCATGTCTGTATACTGCATAGTGACTGCCAGGGTAAACAGGTCATGTCTGTATACTGCATAGTGACTGCCAGGGTAAACAGGTCATGTCTGTATACTGCATAGTGACTGCCAGGGTAAACAGGTCATGTCTGTATACTGCATAGTGACTGCCAGGGTAAACAGGTCATGTCTGTATACTGCATAGTGACTGCCAGGGTAAACAGGTCATGTCTGTATACTGCATAGTGACTGCCAGGGTAAACAGGTCATGTCTGTATACTGCATAGTGACCGCCAGGACAAACAGGTCATGTCTGTATACTGCATAGTGACCGCCAGGGCAAATAGGTCATGTCTGTATACTGCATAGTGACCGCCAGGGCAAATAGGTCATGTCTGTATACTGCATAGTGACCGCCAGGACAAATAGGTCATGTCTGTATACTGCACAAAACAAACTACTGAAAGAGAGACGTGAACAGTGCTGTTATTTTTTTTGTTGTAGTGTCAGTATTTGTTGTTGCATAATGACATCAACATTGGACTCTTTAACATGCCTTTGAGGGTTTCATCTGCCAAAGCAAACATTGAAGCATATCAGATGTCGACACTGTGCAGACCTGATAAGGAGAACCCAACAGGGCCTAAGAAATGGTTCTGATCAGAATTTCCTCTTATCCTGATAAAAGTTTATCCTGATAAAAGTTGAAGCATGAACAATTGCTGGGGATGAACAGATTGTTCTTCATAACAGAAATTGACCCCATCCGAGATCGACTTAAGAGGTCTGCACTTGCCACAGACTGCTATATTCATCAGTGTTTCTATAGTTCCATTGCAACCAGCCTTTTATACAAGTCATTCTCGGCACAGCCAACTGGAAAGCTGCTTGATTTTTCAAAGAAGAAGATGTATTTTTGCGCTTATCTTGTCTTTACTGTTTATTGTATGCTGTCATGAGGGGTAGCTGGCCAGATGATTTGCACGATGAGCTGTCATGCAGGAGACCAGGTTTCGAATCCTTGATAAGATGGGGCAAGTTTTTTTCTGGCAGGGGCAAAACTGTAAACATCCTAACCAGCAGAGTTCCTGGCAACTGCACTAGACATGCTGTCTATAGCACACCTCCCTTCTACTCCCTGCAGTGTTCTAGCAGGTAGTGCTATAGGCAGTCGAGCCAGTCCACTGATATGTTGATCACTCTGTGGTAGAGATTTTGAACTAGTCGTTATACCTTATGCAAGTTAATTTTGTTGTGTATTTAATGTTTGTTATTGTCTGTGGCTTAAGCATTGCAAATGAGCTTTGTAGTGCCGGGTTCGATCCCAGCTCTATATTTGAAGGTATAATTCTGCTGTTGTTGCTCCTAGTACTGGTACTGAAGATATGTAATGAATATATTGTTAACTGTTGCCTTCTGTGCTTGACCAACCTACAGGGGCTGAGAAGAAGGACAAAAAAGAACCAGAAGCAGAGGCTGCACAGTGAAACAATCAAAAGCAGAGAAAGGTCAAGGAAGTTGCTGTTGCTGCGACTGAAGCTTTATCCTGTGAAGATGTGAAGACTGTCTTCAGTTTGTGTGTTTATCTGGCACTAGCTTCCCATTTCCCCTCTAGCCTTGATGGATTTCTTAGTGTATATATTTCAGTGAGGTATCATCTGTTTGTCAGCGTGAAGGACAGTCTGACACTGTACTTTTTGGTGTAGTCGCTGTACCCTGATTTATTCTACTTGAAATGTCTGGACTTGTTATTCTGGCGTAACAGTATACCCATAATTCATTGACATATTCCAGCTTGTGGACGCACTTATTGACTGACAAACCCTGAACTCATCGACATAACTTGTGGACACACTTATTGACTGACAAACCCTGAATTCATTGACATAACTTGTGGACACACTTATTGACTGACAAACCCTGAACTCATTGACATAACTTGTGGACACACTTATTGACTGACAAACCCCGAATTCATTGATGTAGCTTGTGGACACACTTATTGACTGACAAACCCTGAAGATCATTGACATTGACACACTTATTGACTGACAAACCCCGAATTCATTGATGTTGTGGACACACTTATTGATTGACAAACCCTGACACGACATAACTTGTGGACAAATGACAAACCCGAATTCATTGATGTAGCTTGTGGACACACTTATTGACTGACAAACCTGCTCAACGAAACATTGACATAACTTGTGGACACACTTATTGACCACAAACCATTGATGTATCTTGTGGACACACACTGACCTGACACCACACTGACCTGACACACACATAGCCGACAATTCACGGATTTGCATACTCTGACACACACTGACCCAGAGATCATTGACATACTCCAGCTTGTGGGTACACTAATTAAATGAGCAAACCCTTATTTGTGGACATGCTCTAACTTGCTGACATACACTGACCTGACACCACATAGCCTCAATTCACTTGCATACTCTGTTTATTTTATGCTTGGAATTTTCATTCTTTTATTGTTCTACATATGAATCCTTATGTATTAGTCCTGACATATTGACATAACTGAATAAATTGTCAAAGCTTTATTGATTGAAGTAAGAGAATAAATTGACACAGTCTAGGTGATTTGACATACTTTAAAACATACTATTACATGTTCCCATACCATAGGTTGGGGAAATTCATTGAGCTTGTACATAAATAGTTACCCTTGTTATATGCTGGATGTAGGGCAACAGTTCACAAGAAGACCAGGTGTGGGCAGCACTGTTGAAGCTGTGGCCTGTTTACTGCACATATATTCTAGTTTCCATGTTTGCAGTAACTTTGAGTGTTCAGTGTTGTGCGTGCACACTTTATGGGTGTTCCACTTTCCTATTTCTTGTCTTTGTTTGAACATTTAAAACGTGTGCATTCTTTAGATCATTAAACTCTGCTGGTCTGTTCTGTGATTTCATTTCTCAGGTGATTCCATATAAAAGTCTGCATGTGTTGAGAAACCTTGTTCTCGTGTACACTTGACCCCCAGCTTACAGCCGACTGAAACCGGCACTCATTTTATGTTGACACACCGAATAGTACACTGTCACAATACGCCATAGTTGTCTTGTACTGTCACAATATACCATAGCTATCTTGTACTGTCACAATATACCATAGCTATCTTGTACTGTCACAATACACCATAGCTATCTTGTACTGTCACAATACGCCATAGCTATCTTGTACTGTCACAATACGCCATAGCTATCTTGTACTGTCACAATACGCCATAGCTATCTTGTACTGTCACAATATGCCATAGCTATCTTGTACTATCACATTATTACCTATTACCACTAAATGTTTGTTCTAGAATAGATCTCTCCTGTGTTTATTGTTCCAGAATATATCTCTCCTGTGTTTATTGTTCCAGAATAGATCTCTCCTGGGTTTATTGTTCTAAAATGGATCTGTCCTGGGTTTATTGTTCCAGAATAGATCTCTCCTGTGTTTATTGTTCTAGAATGGATCTGTCCTGTGTTTATTGTTCTAGAATGGATCTCTCCTGGGTTTATTGTTCTAGAATGGATCTGTCCTGGCTTTACATATTTGTTAACCTACAGGGATAAGGGAACATATGAATACTCACACATCATATGCTCTAGCTCTGTTCTAGAGTACATGGTACTGCTGTTTGCTTTCCTGTCACTTGTTTCAGATTCCTCAGTAATTCCTTGATGTCACATGTTCCAGCACTTGAATATGCCAGGGGATTCCTTGGTCTCACATGTTTTAGGTCCTTATTCCTTGATTGTCATTCTCTGACCCTTTCTGGAGTTCCTTGATTGTCTTTCTCTGACCCCTTGTGGGTTCCTTGATTGTCTTTCTCTGACCCCTTGTGGGTTCCTTGATTGTCTTTCTCTGACCCCTTGTGGGTTCCTTGATTGTCTTTCTCTGACCCCTTGTGGGTTCCTTGATTGTCTTTCTCTGACCCCTTGTGGGTTCCTTGATCCTACCCAGACAGCAAATATTGTAAATACGTAATTGAATTTTAAAAAATCCTTCTCAAGATATGCCTACAAATAGGGAGAGAGAGAGAGATTCAGACAACTGAAGTCGTATACTGACAGCAGACAACTTTACAACTGAATAGCCACAGCTTATTTTTCCACAGCTGTGAATTTCCAACAGCTTGGTTTTCCACATCTGTGAATGATCAGCTAGGTTTGCCACATCTGTGAATGATCAGCTAGGTTTGCCACATCTGTGAATGATTAGCTAGGTTTGCCACATCTGTGAATGATCAGCTAGGTTTTCCACATCTGTGAATGATCAGCTAGGTTTGCCACATCTGTGAATGATCAGCTAGGTTTGCCACATCTGTGAATGATTAGCTAGGTTTGCCACATCTGTGAATGATCAGCTAGGTTTGCCACATCTGTGAATGATCAGCTAGGTTTGCCACATCTGTGAATGATCAGCTAGGTTTGCCACATCTGTGAATGATCAGCTAGGTTTGCCACATCTGTGAATGATCAGCTAGGTTTGCCACATCTGTGAATGATTAGCTAGGTTTGCCACATCTGTGAATGATCAGCTAGGTTTGCCACATCTGTGAATGATTAGCTAGGTTTGCCACATCTGTGAATGATCAGCTAGGTTTGCCACAGCTCTGAGTGGCAAACAGCTGGGTTGGCTATAGCTTTGATGGCCAATAGCTAGATTTGATCTTTCTTCCCATCCTTACTGTTTCTGTCTACATGAGGTTGTTGTTGTTGAGTTTGTTTTCATTTTGATATTTTACAAGTCAGTGTTAAATAAATGTTGTTGATAACAGTCCTTGGTGTCTGGTTCATTGTTAATGATTGCTGCTTGAAGCCAGCACCAGTGGAAGTGAGTGCACATGGAAGCCAGCACCAGTGGAAATGGGTGCATGTGGAAGCCAGCACCAGTGGAAATGGGTGCATGTGGAAGCCAGCACCAGTGGAAATGGGTGCACATGGAAGCCAGCACCAGTGGAAGTGGGTGCACATGGAAGCCAGCACCAGTGGAAATGGGTGCATGTGGAAGCCAGCACCAGTGGAAATGGGTGCATGTGGAAGCCAGCACCAGTGGAAATGGGTGCATGTGGAAGCCAGCACCAGTGGAAATGAGTGCACATGGAAGCCAGCACCAGTGGAAATGGGTGCACATGGAAGCCAGCACCAGTGGAAATGGGTGCATGTGGAAGCCAGCACCAGTGGAAATGGGTGCATGTGGAAGCCAGCACCAGTGGAAATGGGTGCACATGGAAGCCAGCACCAGTGGAAATGGGTGCATGTGGAAGCCAGCACCAGTGGAAATGGGTGCATGTGGAAGCCAGCACCAGTGGAAATGGGTGCACATGGAAGCCAGCACCAGTGGAAGTGAGTGCACATGGAAGCCAGCACCAGTGGAAATGGGTGCATGTGGAAGCCAGCACCAGTGGAAATGGGTGCATGTGGAAGCCAGCACCAGTGGAAATGGGTGCATGTGGAAGCCAAGCACAGTGAAATGAGTGCACATGGAAGCCAGCACCAGTGGAAATGGGTGCATGTGGAAGCCAGCACCAGTGGAAATGGGTGCATGTGGAAGCCAGCACCAGTGGAAATGGGTGCATGTGGAAGCCAGCACCAGTGGAAATGAGTGCACATGGAAGCCAGCACCAGTGGAAATGGGTGCACATGGAAGCCTTCACCAGTGGAAATGGGTGCATGTGGAAGCCAGCACCAGTGGAAATGGGTGCATGTGGAAGCCAGCACCTGCTGAAATGGGTGCACATGGAAGCCAGCACCAGTGGAAATGGGTGCATGTGACAAAAGCCAGCACCAGTGGAAATGGGTGCACATGGAGCCAGCACCAGTGGAAAATGGGTGCATGTGAAGCCAGCACCAGTGGAAATGAGTGCACATGGAAGCCAGCACCACAGCTGATGGGTGCATGTGGAAGCCAGCACCAGTGGAAATAAGTGCACATGGAAGCCAGCACCAGTGGAAATGGGTGCATGTGGAAGCCAGCACCTGTGGAAATGGGTGCATGTGGAAGGGAGAGAAAGATGTATGACGGTGAAATAATGTAAACTTAGGCCACAAGAAATAATACAATCACACCAGTGGGCTAATGTCTTCTCCAGAGACTGGTGGGGATCCATGGCAAATGTGTTTAGACTGGACAAATGTGCTGTTTGACACCAACACAGCTGATGTCTTAACACCCACTCTTGTGATGTCTGACACCCACACAGGGGATGTTTGATTGCTGTGTGAGGATGTGTTTAGATCTAATAGAAAATGATGCCTGACAATTGTGTCAGGATGTAGCCAAAATCTGATGTTTGACACCCACACAACTGTCTGACAGTTGTGCCATGATGTCTTAAACTCTGATACTGATACAACAGTTTTGACAAACCACATCAGAACCACAAGACCTGTAACTCTTGATTCTTACACCAGTGGAGTCTTAGAAGATAACTATATGATTCTTACACCAGTGGGGT